TATGCGTCAGATTCTTAAGCTGCCAATCAACTTACACTCAGATGATACTTGGTTCTGGAAGGGGGAAGTTCAAAATCAGTATACAGTTAGAGATGGTATCGAAAATTCATGGGGGAAGTTTCGCTGGATCCATCATTTTCTTATTGGGGAAGACTTTGGAAAATTCTTGTTGCACCAAAAGTATGAATTTGTCTTTGGCGAGCAGTTTGTGGGATTCTCCCAACATCATGCGCCCTTATTTCAAAAGGTTTGGAGCTGATCCCGCTTTGCCCAGTATGTGGTCTTACGGAGGAAACGATTGAACACATTTTTCTCTCTTGCCCCTTTGCTAACAATGTTTGGGAGCTTCTAGCATTGGGGGGGGGGGGGAATCGGTTGATGGCCACTAGTTTCCTTCGTGGCTCCAGCAGATTTTGGTCACAGCTTCAACAACGAATCCCCAGCGGATTGCTTGGGCGATATGGTGTTTATTGAAGAATCAGAAAGATGCCCTTTGGAATCATGTCGTCATTGTACCCTTATCATTGAAGCATCAGGTCATTCACTTGTAAAACACTCATGTCTCCAATGACATTAGTTTTAGTTCAATTCACGGGAGGTTAAAAACGACGGAGGGGTCTTCTAACACTTGGAAGTGTTCACTGGATGCTTCTCTCTTTCCTCGTTCGAAGCTCACAGGTTTTGGGTATATACTTTTTACACCCAATGATTCTTTCAAGGCCGCAATTAATGGTGTTACACATTGAGATTTTGATCCTATTATGGCTGAAGTTGTGGCTTGTAGGGAGACTCTTTCTTGGCTAAAAAATATGAGCATTGATGCAGTGGTAGTCTCCATAGATAATCTCAAATTGGTTCAAGTATTACAACAAAGGGATGCCTCTTCCTTTATGTCCTACGTGGGCTCAATTTTGGACTCTTGTTTTACTCTTATTTCTTCCTTTAGGCATATCGAATTTCATTTTCTTCGTAGATGTGAGAACATTCTAGCTTATGTGCTTGATAAAACAAATTGAGATTTGTGTTGATGTGTGAGAGTCTAACCCACCAAACTTTCTTATTCCTTTTTTGAATGATTAATCAATATTTTGTTTGTTTCAAAAAAAATTGTACTCATTATAATATTGGAAACTTTAAAAAAATAAAAAAGGAAGCTATTTATTTAGGTCAAAGAGAGACTCAAAATCATTTAATAAATTTCTCCTTCCGTCACAATTTAAATCAATGTTTTTGGGTTTCAACATTTCACTCAATTTAATTTCAAATTATTTTATATGAAAAAAAGGTGTAGAATAAAGATATAGAAAATTACATATTCTAAAATTATATCAAAAGATCTATAAAAGTAATGGGGACATGAGTATATTGTTAAATCAAATTGCAATTGCAAAATCAAATAAAAAAGAAAGTAATTGAAGTTTAACTATAAGAATAGTTCACATGCAATTTAATTATAGTTTGAGAGAGTAAATTATGTTCATATAATTCATCCATGTTTTTCCGACCTAGTAAATATTAATCCAATAAATATGCTCCCTCTTCCTTGAGTATTTTTCTATATGCCCATATTTGACTAATTTCCATCAAACTTGGTATGGCTGTAAATGGATAACCGAAAATCCTATGTCCGCATCCGTATTCGTTAAAATGGAAAAAAATTGCATTTGTTTTAAATGGACATCATCTGTGTCTCATTAAGTACATCTGATTGATAAAGGGATGCGAATTTGGTAATTATAGATTCGATCCATTTAAAATATGATCATCCATTTCTATATTTGCATATCCGATTATTCGATCTGTTATACCGAATATAGGTAATAAAAAATTATCCATAGTTAAAAAAAGCTATCCGTAGTTTAGAGTAATTAATTTTTGGGATTTGCTACGGTGCCTTCCCAAATAAAGGGGCATGGATGCCCCTCCATCCAATTGCCGCCATGTGGATTGCTAGTTTGCTACTACGTGGATTGATAAAGCATTCCATACTCCATATCACTTTAGCTTCGAGAAATTGCAAAATGGTCCTCTCCACTTAATGTTAAGTTACTAATCTTTTATGGAGTACTCCCTTCGTCCTATTTCTTTTTTCTCAGTTTGACTTTTCCTCATTTTTTATTTTTGGCTTTGATTTCAAATTTTATCCTCCTTAAAAAAGATTTTTTGAATTTTTTTTACAATTATTCAAAATATAGAGTTAGAAGATAATTGGTGTAAATAAATGAGGGTATTAATGTCATTTGTCATCTTTTTTTCTAATGGGAAGATAGTTTTAGGAAGGAGAAAAAGGAGAAGTGGGAAGAAAACTTTAGGACAGAGGGAATATTATTTCACCCGTTAAAAAGTTTTTCACTCAATTCAATTTTTAATACTCCGTAACTTATATTGTTTTAGTCCCTGTATATTTTTTCAGTTTGACTTTTTAGAGTCAAATTGGATAAAATTTAAGTTTGAATTATTTTCAATTTGTATTGTATATTAGTACAATAAAGTACTCCCTCCGTTCTCAAAACACTTCCTCTTTCATTTTTTCCACTTCCAACAAAACACTTCCCCTTTCAATTAAAAAACCACTTTTACCCTTACTTTTTCATACATTACCTATCACATCATACTTGTTCTCTAATAATTTATCCATCACATCTTACTTTTACCCATCACATCAGGGACAAAATTGGAAATCAACTACTCCGTATAATTTAACCTTTCTTTATTTTTGTCCCAAATCAAAATGGGAAGTCTTTTTGCAAACGGAGGGAGTAAAATTTTGAAAGTTCTCATTAAAATAAATCTAAGAAAAATCATTTTTATACTAATATTATTAGAGTATATAAAATCAGTCTTGAGCCACAGTCACAAACTTAAGCTTTTGGTTAAATTGATTCCCTGACATCGTATCAAAGCTTTAATGACTAAGAGGTCACGAGTTTGAAACTCACCGTTACTCAATTTTAAAAAAATTAAAGTTTCACATGCAAGACTTAAAAAAGGCATGCCTGTACGCGAGGGGCATGTTAGAGTTTATAAAATTATTTATGGGCCAAAAACACAAACTTGAGGTTTTGGCTGAATTGGTTCCCTAACTAATTTACATTAAATTTTTGTTTTTATAAATCTTAAAGTTCATCATGTTTGACTCCAAAAGTCAAAGTAGACAAATACACTGGAATGAAAGAAATATTTGTTTGCATATTTTCATTTACTCCCTCCGTCCTAAAACTTTCTTCACACTTCCTCTTTTTCTCCGTCCTAAAACTACCTTCCCATTAGAAAAAAAGATGACAAATGACATTAATACCCTCATGTTTTTACACCAATCATCTTCTAACTCTATATTTTGAATGATTGTAAAAAAAATTTTAAAAAATCTTTTGTAAGGAGGGTAAAATTTGAAGTCAAAGCCAAAAATTAAAAATGAGGAAAAGTCAAACTGGGAAGAAAGAATTAGGACGGAGGGAGTATCATTTGATAAGTTAAAATATTCTTGTCATTTCTTATTTTGTTGAACTTTTGATGTAGTTTTGAACAATGTTACTTTTTTATATAACAATTTGCGTATAAAGGTAATTTTAAAAAAGATAAGATTTTGCACGTTGTTCAAAATGAGAAGATAAAAATGGACGGAGCGAGTAAATTTTCTTAGAAATATTTACATGAATAATCCAAAAAATTCGTAAGTGTATGTTAGTATTCCAAAATTCAATAAATTATACTACAGGTCCTGAAAATTCTACGTGTTACAATGTTAACTGGTGGCTACAAACCCAGCTAAATACTACGTGATGGGTATATCCCTATACCCGACCCGGACAACCGAAAGGGACAGGTCAAAGTATGACCGGTCACTTTTATCAATCACCAAATGAGGTTAACTCTTCGATTGGGACGAGTCAAAAGTTGACCGGTCACTTCCACTAAAAAAGTGACCGGTCACATTTTGGGCGATAGTGAAAATATCACCTTATTCTACGAAGGACATTCTAGAAGACCAAAGAGACGGGTTGAGCGCAAGAAATGACCGGGTAACCTTTCAGAGAAGGTGACCGGTCATATCACTTTACTTGGCTAACATTGGTCCAGTCTCTTAGGCATGGTGAATCACGTCAGAGGTCAAGGGGACACCCCGCCGCTCATCCATCACGAGGCACACAGTGAAAGGGATGTTTGTCATTTTGCAGGGTTGATTGGATTGAGAATATCCATTTTAGTCTTTGATTGAACAGTACATGTCTTGGCTTGTAGTTGCTAAATTCATTGATTGAATAGTAGATTGATTATGTACAGTGACCTTCCCACGGGCTTCCTATTTTGTCCATGGATGAACAGGGGAAGGTCACAAATCCTCCTCTA